CTCCTCCTCCTCCTCCTCCTCCTCCTCCTCCTCCTCCTCCCGCCGCCGCCGCCGCCGCCACCGTCTCCTCCTCCTCCTCCTCCTCCTCCTCCTCCTCCTCCTCCTCCTCCTCCTCCTCCTCCTCCTCCTCCTCCTCCTCCCCTCGTCCTCCTCCACCACCACCACCTCCTCCTCCTCCTCCTCCTCCTCCGCCACCTCCACCTCCTCCTCTTATTAGTAGTAATAGTATTATCATTATTCTTATTATTTTTCTTATTATTCTCATTCTTCTTGTTAATATTAATCGTATTATTCTTCTTATTATGATTATTATTCTTATTCGTCTTATTACTATTCTTAATATCATTATTATTCCTATTATTAATATTATCATTATTATCATTAGTATTATTATTAGTAGTATGATTATTCTTAGTATGCTTCATATTAGTATTCTTCGTATTATTATTCGTCTGGTTCTTCTTAGTATTATTAGTATTATTCTTAGTATGATTATTATTCGTATTCTTAGTACTAATATTATTAATATTATTATTAGTATTATTCTGATTAGTCGAATCATTATTAAAATTATTCGTCTCCTTCTTATTATTAGTAGTGTTATTCTTATTATTCGAATTCTTATTCTGGTGAGTATTCGTCTTCCTCCTCCTCCTCCGTCTTATTATTATTCTTCTTATTATTCTTAATAGTATTATTATTATGATTTGTATTGTTATTCTTATTATTCCTCCTCCTCCTCCTCCTCCTCCTCCTCCTCCTACTCCGCCTCCTCCTCCTCCTCCTCCTCCTCTTCCTCCTCCTCCTCCGTCCTCCCCCTCCCTCCTCCTCCTCCCCCCTCCCTCCTCCACCTGCTCCTCCGCCTCCTCCTCCTCCTCCTGCCTCCTCCTCCTCCTCCTCCTCCTCCTCCTCCTCCTCCTCCTCTCCTCCGCCTCCGCCTCCGCCTCCGCCTCCGCCTCCTCCTCCGCCTCCGCCTCCGCCTCCGCCTCCTCCTCATCATCCTCCTCATCCTCCTCCTCTTCCTCCTCCTCCTCTTCCTCCTCCTCCTCCGCCTCCTCCTCCTCCTCCTCATCCTCCTCCTCCCGAAACCTGCTAAATCACATGGTATGCGAATACTGTCCTCGCCCAGGCGGAGCCTCCCTGGAGGGGTGGGAGGGGCGGTGGGAAGGGCACGAAACCTGATAAAGCACATGGTATGCGAATACTGTCCTCGCTCAGGCGGGGCCTCCGTGGAGGGGTGGGAGGGGCACGTAACCTGATACATCACGTGGTATCCGAATAATGTCCTCGCTCAGGCGGGGCTTCCGTGGAGGGGCGGGAGGGGCACGAAACCTGATAAATCACATGGTATCCGAATACTGTCCTCGCTCAGGCGGGGCCTCCCTGGACTGGTGAGAGGGACACGTAACCTGATAAACAAAATGGTGTCCGAATACTGTCCCCGCTCAGGCGGGGCCTCCGTGGAGGTGTGGGAGCCTCATAAATCACATGGTATCCGAATACTGTCCTCGCTCAGGCGGGACCTCCCTGGAGGGGTGGGAGGGGCACGAAACCTGATAAAGCACATGGTATCCGAATATACTGTCCTCGCTCAGGCGGCGCCTCCCTGGACGGGTGGGAGGGGTACGAAACCTGATGAATCACGTGGTATCCGAATAATGTCCTCGCTCACGCGGGGCCTCCCTGGAGGGGTGGGAGGGGCACGAAACCTGATAAAGCACATGGTATGCGAATATTGGCCTCGCTCCGGCGGGGCCTCCCTGGACGGGTGGGAGGGGCACGTAACGTGATACATCACATGGTATCCGAATACTGTCCTCGCTCAGGCGGCGCCTCCCTGGACGGGTGGAGGGGCACGAAACCTGATAAATCACATGGTATGCGAATACTGTCCTCGCTCAGGCGGGGCCTCCCTGGACGGATGGGAGGGGCACGAAACCTGATAAAGCACATGGTATCCGAATACTGTCCTCGCTCAGGCGGCGCCTCCCTGGACGGGTGGGAGGGGCACGAAACCTGATAAATCACATGGTATCCGAATACTGTCCTCGCTAAGGCGGGGCTTCCCTGGAAGGGCGGGAGGGGCACGCAACCTGATAAATCATATGGCATGCGGATACCGTCCTCGCTCAGGCGGGGCCTCCCTGGAGGGGTGGGAGGGGTATCAAATCGCATGATATCTTATGGTATTGTATGGTATGGTATGGAATGGTATGGTATGTATGGTTTTGTGATGGCATGTGGAACAGGAAGCGGGAGAAGGAGAAGGAGAAGGAAAGGGTGTTCTTGGAAAACAAGAGCCCCACTCAGGATGTGGGGAAACATACCCACATCAGGATGCCTGAGTAAAGGTGTCCCTGGCCCAAGGTGGCCCCAACTGTTCGCTCCATGTTTGAGCCCCTGGTGCCTTCTGGGCCTCGTGAGTGGTGCTCTGGAGGCCAGGGGAAGGGGAGAGGGAACTGGAGGGTGCCAGGGGATGAGAAGAGGGCGGGAGAAAATCATTTCAGGGGCTACCTACTTCGCGCCGAAGCTTCCACCGCCCCTCCAAAGTGTCGGAATCATCTCTGGATGTGCCTCGATCTCTTTCAGACGTACATCGATGTACATTGGAGTTACCTCGATGCCTATGGCTCACACCCTCAGATCGATTGGAAAAAGGTTGTCGAGCCCTCAGGGAGGGAGGGCGAAAGAATGAGCGGCTGGAGGCGTAAGACGACTCGGATCACTGCTTGCCACTTGCATCGTGTTGGTGATCCTCCTCTTTTTGCTGATCCGCATCTGCTGTCGATATCTTCGTCATCCTGCTGCGTAGTCCGCTGCTGCTCATAATCATAAGAAACCTCCGCCTCGCCCCTCCATCCTCCTTCCTTTTCAATTTCGTGGTTTCTCCTCCCCCTCCGCCTCCCCCCTCCTCCTCCTCCTCCTCCTCCTCCTCCTCCTCCTCCTCCTCCTCCTCCTCCTCCTCATCATCATCATCATCATCATCATCATCATCATCATCATCATCATCATACGCATCCTCCTCCTCCTCCTTCACAATATCCTCCTCATACTTCACATCCCCCTCCTCCATCTTCTCTTCATCCTTATTGCCTCGGCCTCATCGCCATCCGCCTCAATGATCATCATCTTCCTCATCATCATCTCCACCATCCCCATCACGATTATCCAAAGAGCAGCCATACAGCCATCATCGATATCATATACCCCGTCACAACCACCATCGTCGTCATCATCCTCATCATCATTCTCCTCATCCTCATCATCATCAGCAGCAGCATCAACATCGACGTCAGCATCATCATCATCATTATCATCATCAGCATCAGCAGTATCATCATCAGCATCAGCATCAGCATCATCAGCAGCATCATCATGAGAGTCAGCATCATAATCAGTCTCGACATCATCACCATGATCATGATCAACATCATGACCACCACAACAAGCATCATCACCATCACCACCAGCATCATCATCAGCAGCAGCAATCATCAGCATCATCAGCATCATCAGAATCCTCATCCTCATCATCATTATCCTCCTCATTACACACCTCATCATCATCAGCATCAGCATCAGCATCATCATCATCCTCATCATCATCATCACCACCACCACCACCCTCACCACCATCACAATCGTCACCATCACCGTCAACAGCACCATCACCCTGCTATTCCCTCTCCCTCCTGCTCCTTCTCCTCTTACACCCTCTCCCCATCTGCTCCTCTTTCCCTGGGCCGCTCGGGTGGCCGCCGCTCGACATCGTCTTCGCCGTCGCCGTCGCCGTCGCCAGCCCGAATCCGTTCAAAATCGGACCACTCCTGGAACCCATCCTGGCCAGTTGTTCCAGCCGCGCCCAGCCGAGGCGACGAGAACCTCCAGAAGCGCCCGGGAGCCGCCGAAACGAAGCCGCCGCCGTCGCAGCCGCCGACCTCCGCTGGCGCTCCTCCTCCTTCCCTGCGGTCACGCTGGCCGCGGCCGGCATGTCGCTGAGCTCAAGGGGTGCCGGCAGCAGCACCTCGGGCTCCACCAGCGCCGGCGGCCCCAGGAGCTCGCTGGAGGCCTGCAGGATGGTGTGGTACGCTCCGCACTGCACCTCGGCCCGCGGTGCGCGCAGGAGGGCTCGGATTTCCCAGCGGCCCGGGCCTGGAAGCTCGAGCTCGACGCCTATCGGCGTCTCGAGTCCGAGGCCTCTCTGCCCACGATGGAAACCACCGCCTCCGCAAGCTCGAATCGAAAATCTGGGACGGGCGACGTTCTCATCTTTGTATGTAGCAGCGTTTCGCACATGTCATCATGGGCCATCTGCACTGTGCGCTTCGCAAGCAATTTCGCGCGCCCAATCCTTCAGAAATTACCCAATGAACCCACCCTGAGATCAGCCAAAGGGATATGTGGCACATGTGAACCCGTGGGACCTGTAGGACCGTCGAAACCTGCGAAACGTGTCAAACCTGTGGGACCTGTGGGACCTGTGGGACCTCTAGGACCTCTGGGACTGCGGGGCCTGCGAAACGTGCCAGACTTGTGGGGCCTGTGGGACCTGTGGGACCTGTCGGACCTGTGGGAGCTGCGGGACCTGTGGGACTTGCGGGACCTGCTGGACCTGTGACCTGCGAGACCTGTGAGACCTGTGAAACATGTTGCACCTATGGAACATGTTGGACCCGAAGGACTTGTGGGACCTGCGACATCCGAGGGCCCAAGTAAGGCACTTAATTGTGGGACCGCTGGGCGCCCAAGTAACGACCTGATTTGGGACCCCGAAAGTTCTGTATTCAGCGCTTGATCGACAGATGTTTCGCTCTTTGGGACCATCGAAATCCCCCAAGGGAATGTATTCCCAATCAGAGTTTGCATCTGTAGGGGTCCTAGCGGATTCAAATGGTTAGGTGAGGTACGGCGCCGACTTCGGCAGCACGCCCAAGTGCCCGGGTGCACGGGTGCCCCGGTGCCCAGGATCCCCAAAGCCCAGGTGCCCCGGTGCCCGGTTGCCCGGGTGTCCGGGTGCCCGTGTGCCCAGGTGCCCGGGTGCCATATAGCCTTAAAGCCCTATAGCCCGATGGCTCTATGGCCCTTTTGTCCTATAGCCCTATAGCCCTATAGCCCCATAGCCTTATAGCCCTATAGCCCTATAGCCCTGTAGCCCCATAGCCCTAGAACCCTTAAAAGATTATGATTGGGGCTTTTCTCCCGTATTACGCAAGAAACCCGAAGTTTCCTATACGTCGACCAAATTTCCCTGGAGCGGGGAAGCCCGGCGCGGCCGTCAGAACCCTCCAACCAGCCACCTCGCTCGGAAACGCGAAACAATCGCTCTGCCGAGACCTGAAAGGCGACACTCTGCTACCATCGCCGCCGCAGCTGCACTGCATCCGGTAATCCGCTAAAAAAACCAGAACACCACCACGGAGGCGCGGGCGCGGCACAAGACGGCACTGAGACCCCTAGCTCACCCCGGCCCAAGATGGTCCCGAGGTGCCCCAGAGGAACCCCAAAAGGGCCCAAGCCACAGGAGGCCCCCGAAACAACCCAACAGGACCCCAAAGCAGGCCCATTACAGCTCAGGAGTGCCACGTGAGAACCCCAAGAAAGGCGACGGGAAGAGAAGGATAATGAGGTGGAAGAGGGGGACACATGACAACAAGGGGACGGGGGGGAGGAGGAGGGCAAGGAATACGCCCAGAGACGACGCGGAACAGCGTGTCACGTGGTGCGGCCATTGAAAAACTATGGGCGGCGATATGTCGCGTGGCCTTCGTGCCCCCCTCGCTTTGTTTCGCGGCCCCGTTGCAGCCCTTCGTGGCCCCCTCGTTTCGTTTCGTGGCCCCGTTACAACCCTTCGTGGCCCCCTCGCCGCCCCTTCGTGGCCCCGTTGCAGCCATTCGTGGCCCCCTCGCTGCACTTCGTGGCCCCGTTGCAGCCCCTCGTGGCCCCCTCGCTGCCCTTCGTGGCCCCGTCGCAGCCCTTCGTGACCCCATCGCTGCCCCTCGCGGCCCCGTTGCAGCCCTTCGCGGCCCCCTCGCTGCCTTTCGTGGCCACATATATGCATGCCCTTCGCAGCCCCCGCTCGTTCGCGCCCGTCGTGGCCCCATGCGCATGGCGCATGCCCTTTGTGGCCCCGCCGTCGCCCTTCGCGGCACCCTCGCTGCCCTTCGCGGCCCCGTTGCTGCCCTCAGTGGCCCCGTCCTTGCCCTCCGCGGCCAAGTGGACGCATGCCCTTCGTGGCCATCGTTCGTTTTCGCCCGTCGTGGCCCCACGCGCACGCCCTTCGTGACCCCGCCGTCGCCCTTTGTTGCCCCCTCGCTGTCCTACCTGGCCCAGTTGCTACCCTCAGCGGCCCCGTCGTTGCATTCTGTGGCCCCGCATTATCTGCCCATCGTGGCCCCCGTTCGTTCTCGCTCTTCGGGCCCCCATACGCAGTCCCTTCGTGTCCCCGCCGTCGCCCTTCGTGGACTACTTCGTGCCCTTGGTGGACCTGCTGCCGTTCTATCTCTCGCAATCTCGCTTTGGCTCGCCGTCGTTGTCGTGGGGGTCGTCGTCGTCGTGGTCGGTCCCTTGTCCGTCCCTCTTGGGGTCGGGTTGACGCCGATCAGCGATGCCGCTGGACAGGCGGACGGTGCGCGGCCGCGCAGGCAGACGGTGCGCGGCCGCACGGCCGATTGACAAGGACCAGCCTGGAGGGAAGAAAAGTATATCCCCAAAAGGAGCACAGTGGAAGACGAAGAAGGCGGGTATCGAGGGTTTGGGAAATACACGTTAACTGACAATCGAGCAGATTAAAAGGAACAGACTGAAAATGATTGTTGATGTTGTTGATGTTGTTGTAAGGCCAACAACACATTTTGAGTCGAGCTACTTTCCCTGATAAATAAACACGGTGCGAGCCCCGGGGGAAGCACTTCAGTTGAAAAAAGCACAATGGTCACTGGAGGGGGGACCAACAACGATTCTTCACGATGGGAATTCAACAACCGCAACATCAGCAGCAGCAGCAGCAGCAGCAGCAGCAGCAGCAACAGCAACAACAACAATAAGTATACCCTCATGCGCGATGATTCCACACGCAGCATGCGACGATCATGATAACCATCACCATCATAGGGGGATTATTGTTCTATCGCGGGGGTCCGTTATTGCCATTCCCAGATATCCCGTCCGATGGGGTTTTGCAAACACCTCCTCCGAGGAATTTCAACATATACCACCTCGAAAACACATGCCTGCACCCTGCCGCGCCGATGCGAGACCGCAAATGGAGCCCCAGCCAAGGGTAAAGCACAAGGAAGTATCAAGCGAAAGGATTGGCTTGGTGGGGAGGGGGGCTGTCGGCGGCGAGGCAAGGACCTGGCCCTGAATAAAGGGAGGAGCCTCGAGCAAGGGTGGTGTTGTTGCTGGGATCGGCGCCATTTCAGAAGAGAGCAGGGCGCTAATCCAGCGTAAAACAAAACGAGGTCTCGAGCGGGAGTGCTGGTTCTGTTGGGACGGCGGTTGTCGGCGGCGAGGAGGAACACCGCCTTGACTAAAAAAGAAAGAAGCCTCGAGCCGGAGCCGCGGTTTTGTCGGGACGGGGGCTGTCAGAGGCGAGGAACAGCACCTTCCTCTGGAAAAAGCGAGGAAGCCTCGAGCGGGAGCGTTGTTCTTGCTTTGGGCGGCGCCAATTCAAAAGGGAATAGGGCGCCAGTCCATGGCAAAACGGGAAGACGTCTCGGGCGGAAGCGCTGATTTTGTTGGGGCAACGGTCTTCGGCGGCGAGCAAGAGCACTGGCTCTGAATAAATAAGAGGAAGACTCGAGAGGGAGCGTTGGTTTTGCTGGGGGCGGCACCGATGGGAGAAAGCGTAGCGCGCCAGTCCAAGGTAAAGCGGGAAGAGGTCTCGAGCGGGAGAGTTGGTTTTGTTGGGGCGGCGGTTTTCGGCGGCGAGCAAGAGCATCGGCTCTGAGTACAAAAAAAAGGAAATCTCGGGCGGGAGCGTTGTTGTTGTTGGGGGCCTGTTTCGGCGCCCCCCCAAACCGCTCAAGCGTGAGCCTCAATTTCACTGAAAATGTAGCCGGCGCCGAGGCGAGAGCGCCAGGGCGCATGGGGGCGGACCAACAATAATAACCGTTTAGAAAGTAACATTCAACAACAACAACAACAACAACAACAACAACAACAACAACAACAACAACAACAACAACAACAACAACAACAACAACAACAACAACAACAACAACAGCAGCAGCAGCAGCAGCAGCAGCAGCAGCAGCAGCAAGCAGCAGCAGCAGCAGCAGCAGCAGCAGCAGCAACACAACAACAACAACAACAACAACAACAACACAACAACAAAACAACAACAACAACAACAACAACAACAACAACAACAACAGCAACAGCAACAGCAACAGCAACAGCAACAGCAACAGCAACAGCAACAACAACAACATCAACATCAACAACAACAACAACAACAACAACAACAACAACAACAACAACAACAACAACAACAACACAAAAAACACTCACAACAACAACAACAACAACACCAACAACAACAATAACAACAACAACAACAACAACAACAACAACAACAACAACAACAACAACAACAACAACAACAACAACCACGACGACGACGACGACAACAACAACAACAGCAACAGCAGCAGCAGCAACAACAACAACAACCACAACCACAACCACAACCATAACCACAACCATAACCACAACCACAACCACAACCACAACCACGGCCACCACCATCATCACCACCACCACCACCACCACCGCAACAACCAAAGACAGCAGGGCAACATGCAAATGCAAATTCATAAAACGCCTAAGGAACTTCTGGATGCGGTGGTTCTTGCGCGGTCACGCTCGGTGTCTTCGGCCCGACCCGACCCGCCCGATGGGGTCGCCCGGCCCGACCGACCCGAACCGACCGCCCTACGAACGCGCCCGCATGACGCCCTAATGTCCCGAACGACCTGGCCCGACCCGTGTCTTCGGCCCCTGTGAGGCTGCTTCTGGCCCCCCAGGGGGCGTCCAAAAAGAGGGCCCGGGAACGAAGCACCGGTCCCCAGGGGGAGGAGGAGAAGGAGGAGGAGAAGGAGGAGGAGGAGGAGGAGGAGGTCGAGGGGCCAGAGGCTCGAAGATGACGACAGACGGAGGCCCCAGAGCGGTCTGGGCCAAAGCGGCCGCCGTTCTCTATGGGGGGAGGGTGGCTCGAGGGCGCGAGGGCGCGCAGGACCACCGCGCGTCGCGCAGCGCGGGGATGCGAGGCGAGGCACTCGGTGAGCTGGGGAGCGTTGCGCCGTTGCGCGCCCTTCCGAACGAAGGCAGGGCTCGTTCGAGCAGGTGGTCGACTACAAAATCGAGCCAGAAGTTTTTTCCGTCGAGCCTGCGAGAAGTACTTCGCATGTTCGTAGCTATACGACAGTGCGACGTCTGTTCCGTGGATCCGACGGAAAAAAGCAAGTCTGGGGTCAATCGATTCTGCAGCCGATCTCCTTCTCGAGTCGTGCGCGGGCGCAGCCTGCAGGAGGCAGACAGACGGCCCCCAGGGGCCCGCCAGAGAGCCCGTTCGGACCTGGCCCCCACGGGGGGGGGGAAGGGGTCGCGGAGCCAGAGGCTCGAAGATGCCGAGCTGTCGGAGGCCGGGCGGGGGCAAGGGGGGGAGGGGGGGGCAGGGCGAGGGGTGCGGCCTTCGGATCAGGGAGGCAAGGGGGGCCTTCCCAGACACGGGAGGTCCAGAGTCCCGACCCTTCCCCAGGGCCAGCTCTCCGTCCCGAATCGTTTCCTGATGGCCCCGGAGCCCGGCAAGGGCCCCCAGGCACATGTCTGGGGTATGGATCTCGTCGCCCGGTTCGAGAGGGCCGGGGCGCTTCTCGGGAAGGGCCCCTCTGGAGCCGGGAGGGCCTCTGAGAAGCCCCCCCCCGCCGCCGCCTCGGAGAGGCGCCCAAACCCCGCGCGCCCTCCCTTCTGCGCGCGGCAGCGGAGAGGCACCTCCGTGCACCTCCGCGCCGCGAACGGCCCGCTGACGCACCGCCGCGGCCAGACCTGGGAGGAAAAAACAACGGCATCACACACACACACACACACACACACACACACGCACGCACGCACGCACGCACGCACGCACGCACGCACACACACACACACACACACACACACACAGCTTCTGGGAAAAAACGAGTTACCTATCGAAGACACCCCCCTGGCCAACCCCGCTGGCCAACCCAGGCCAATCCCTGCCAAGCCTCCTCCCGCCCAGCCCCTCTGACGAGCCCTGGTCAGCGTAGATTTCTCCATCAGACACACCAGACACAAACCGACGCAAATCCTCACGGACTCTCGGGATCGGTACTGCCCCCCCCTCCTGCAACGCGGGGGGGGCCCACGCCGATCCCAGAACCCTGCGCGGGCCTCCGAGAACATATGCTTAGAGTTGTCGCGCTGCCAAGAGGAGCGCCAAAGGAGGACCTGGGGCTTCTCTGGCCACGGCGAGCCTCGGCCACGAATGCGCAGGCCCCCCGACCCAGATCCTGAGCCCCAAGAGGTCTTCACTTCAGCGTCTTGTGTTCGCGCACAGAAGCCCCTCCCCTTCGACAAAACACCTTGAGTGAACACGACCCGAGACCAGATCTGACGGGCGCAGACCCAGAAAAATCGCGGCCGCCTCGAGAATCGAAAGGCAATTCGCAAGTCGAGGTCTCTATCCTTAGCTATGCGATGTCCTGATTTGTACCAGTCGCGGTCCCCAAATCTGCCGACTCTTTCCCAAGGGCCAATATTTTGTCCTTGGCAGTTCTGTTCACGGTCCCAGGGCCCGGCAAGGGCCCCTGGAGGCCGAAAACTGCCGAAGACCTCCCGTCATGATTTTCGGTACGGCACGAGCATGTCTGGGTCGACCTCCGATTCGCGCCGTTTTCTCTTTGGTGGCGCGCATAAGGGGGCGGGGGGAGGGGGGAAGGCTGCTCAGCAGGAGGCTGCTTCTCAGAAGGCGCAGGCCCTACATCGCGCCCTCCAAGAAGAGGGGGCTTCTGAGAATCCCTCCCCCCTCCCCCCACCCCCCTCTGCGGCTGGCTGGCTTCCTCTGCTCCGAAGATGAAGGGACCCAGGGACACACAAATAAGTAGACACAGATCCCAGGATTCCCCAGCGCCTCTCATATTCTCTGGAGCTTCGTCTTTCCCTCCACCATCTCTTCCTGAGGATCGACGATTGTTGGTGTCTGCGTGCTTTTGTCCTCCCGAGAAGACCTGGACCCACGGGCGAGAGTGGCCCACCAGGCTCGCCCCTACGGCCTCGCCGGCGGAGGCCTGCGGGGGGGCGCCCACACCGCTGCCGCAGGAGCTGAGCGGCGCCACGCCGGCCTGCGCGCCCAGCAGCGCCGAGGAGCGCACGTCGTTGAAGGCGAAGCCGAGCTGGCCGTAGGCCCCGTAGCCTCGGGTCGAACGGAACAAGGTTGGCGACGCGCACAGGGGGGGGGCAGGGGGAGGGGGGAAGGCGCCTTAGAAGGAGGCCGCTTCTTAGAAGGCGCCGGCCCTACACCTACAGACAAGGTCCGCGCCTTCTAAGAAGCAGGGGTGCTGCTGAGAAGCCTTCCCCCTCCCCCTACCCCCATCTGCGCGTGGCCGAAAAAGGGGGGCCGGGGGGTGGGGATGGCGAAGGAGCGGTGCATCGGACGACGAGGTCTGTGCATATATCCACCGCATCTGGCCGGGCCAGCGGCGGCGGACATGAGTAGGTCTCGCTGCCCAATAGAAGGCGAGTCAGCTCACGTGGCCGGTTTTCCTGGCGCCTCCTGGCGCCGCCAGAGGTGCCCACTTGCCAAGAGGAGCTGCTGGCGGCGGGACCGAAACCAGCTGCATGCAGCTGTGTTCGTACCCTGCCCCGCTCCTGAGCCCCACCCCCGTTTCGCGCGACCCGATAGCCCCAGAGATACACGAGGCCGTCGCTGGTGACGCACGCGGTGTGGCTGAACCCCGCCGACACCTGGACAACCTTGACGCGGGAGAGGGCGTCTATAGGTTTCGGCGTGGCGCTGCCCTCCATGCTGTCGCCCAGCCCGAGCTGGCACTTCTCGTTTGCGCCCCAGGCGTACACCCAGCCCTGGGCAGGATCACTCAGCATCGAATCGCAAAATCATGTTGGATCGGAATGTGCGTCGGATCGGGCTGCAGCGACACAGAGTCGAAATCGAATTGGATCGGCTGCGCCAGGAGTCACTGCAGCGCCGTGCAAGCTTCGGGCCGTGTCGGATCGTCGGCGAGTTGGAATCGAAACGGACCGCGCCAGCCGAGATCGAGGTCCAATCGAAACGAACGGGTCGAGGCGGGCCCTGCCTGGGTGGTTACGGCGAACGAGCTGGCGAAGCCCGCCGCGACGTCCACGACGGCCTTGTCGCATTGCGCGGGCAGCGCCACCTGAGAGGGGGACGGGCAGTGCCTGCAGGCTCCCAGGCCGAGCTGCCCGAAGCAGCCCACGCCGAAGGTGTAGACGCGCCTGTCCTCGAGGAGCAAAAATCGGTATGAACAAAGGAACTTTCAGAGATCCGCGCGGATATCTCGGCTCGGCGCTGGACAGCCCTGCCATGGCGCGCGAAGCGCGCCAGGGGGCGGCGCTGGAGGGGCCGCTGGAAGGCAGGTGTCCAGCACCGACCCAGGAAGTCCACGCGGATCTCCGATGGCATCATATGGCAGCTCATGGGAGCCTCCCGTGTCATCTTGCTGGCTCTCGCGAACCGACGCTATCCGACGCTAATCGACGCTAATCGACGCTAATCGACGCCGAATCGGAACTATCCGACGCCAAGTCGGAGCTTGATCATCGATTCTCAGACGCTAGCGCACGCTAACGCAATCTAAAGGCAGAATTCCCCATGAGTTACTACCAAACAAGCTGATGTTCATGCCGATTACTATCGTTACTAACCGCCACCGTGCCTGCACGGAGTGGGCGTGTTAGAATGCGTAGTGTTGTCTGAAAGATTTCTTAGGCTTTCTAAGACTGACCGAGTCGAAAACATGCTGGTAAGCTTAGGTATGTGTTACGCTTCAAGCGTTGCCATATCCCAGGTTTTGGCTCATATCGCATGAGCAAGAGAGCGAGACGAAGCATGGGATCTGGAGTAAAGGATAGAAGGGGCATCCTCAATGGAAAAGGTATTTTCCGATCTCAGATACCAGTCGTGCGCCTCGGTGAGGCACAGTCATATATTTGGCCGGGCCCGGCTTGAGCCAGGCACGGCAGCGGTACATGCCCGATTTATACCTCGCCTTTAACCTTCTCCGTTTAAAGTCGGAGGGGGAGGAGACGAGCAGGCACCGCACTTCTACATTACGCGGAAAAACAGTGCTAAGCAGCAGCGGCTGCCTACAAGGCAAGGGCGCGCGAGCAGCCTCGCTACCGGCGAGTTTCCTCGCTACTAGAGCGCACCTGCACGCGGGTTTCCCCGCTAGCTCGGGAGGCAGGGCCGTCCTGAGACGACCTGCCCGCCCTATACGGTGTATGTTTCTTCAGCTCGTGCTTGAAGGATTGCTGGCCGGCCATTACTTGTAGGAGCAACGCGCGGTCAATACTACCTTTGGTATGACCATCGGCAGTCATATCCCGCGTGTCACACCATTGAACGCTTTCAACGATTCCGCGCTCCATCATCTGGCGGATCCAGCTAATGTGCCCAAGCAGAGTACATTCTGTGGGCTTCTTCAGATCTTTGCTAGACAAAGACTTGAAGACAGACTCGGCATCAATAGTCAGAGTGACTTTGATACATAGACCACCCATTTCCAATATGTTCTTTAACTGTGTGGGGGTCAATGGTCCCGAGTGTAGCTCGTGGAGCGTTACAATGGTCGGGTAGCAGTCTTCCAAGTTGTGGGCTGCTGCCAGTGTTTCCGCAGAGTAGCTCGAACGCACCTGCAGTCGATGAGACTTGCAGTATGCGTCCACCAGGTGCACGACGGGTTTCCCCGCTTGCGTGTGGCCACGCCTCAGCAGGTTAGCCCCGCGGATACCATAGCCTTTGACTTCGTCGTCTTCATCTCCATTGAGACGGCGATAGCCAGAATCGCTATGCAGGTCAACTTCTCCTGTTGGAGTCATAGCTTGATACACGATCTTCTTCGGACCTGCCTGTAGTTTCCTGGTAACCGCGTTTAGTCGTCGTACCTGGATGTTTGTCGGTTCCTGGATACGTTGTAGTGAGACAACATAGACCATCAGCCATACCTGCGTGATCAACGCATAGGCTAGAGCGCCACGAAGACTGACGAACATATCAGAAATCGTCTTTGTCGCTTTGCTCTCAGGATCAGCTCCTGTGAGTTCTGGATGTGTGATAGGACGAAGCTGTTTGATGTATTCGTCCTGATCAAGAGTGACGCTCCCATCGTCGGTCTTGTTATACCGAACGGCACAGTTTGTGTATGTGTGCTTGTTCAGTTTGCACTTCCCAAACGTATCTTCAACACACTTGACATACTTGTCAATAGCATCTTCCTTCCCAGTCATATTGATGTCATCAACGTGCTTGGCTGTCAAGAGGTTTGAGCTCATCTCGAACTCTTCGTCGTATGAAGTAGGCTGTAGCCCAAAGCTCCTAGTGATGGACCTGAGCTTCAGCGAGAATGCCCTGGGGGCATCCTTCGTGCCCGTCCCCGGCTTCAGACACCGAAGACAATGCTTTGATTCGTCATATGACTCAAAGCCTGGCAGTGTGCGAAGGACAGCTGCTGACCCAGGAGGTAGTGCGAAGCACACCACACGCTCTTTCTCGCCCGTTGCCGCGGCGAGCTCGCTATAGGTCAGTCCCTTCAAGAAAGCCATGTTGATGTCCAGGGAAGCGATGATCCAAGCTTTGTTGCATGCAGCAGAACTTGCGAGCAGTCTCTGGCTTGACCTCCTTGCCGCGCCAGAGAAGGTTTCGACATCAAAGGCTTCAAGGTCCATGAAGCCACGGAGTACCAAGCGTAACCTGATCGCCCTTTCCATTTCGCCCTTTTCGTTCTTGACAAACTTCCATTTGTATACGTAGCGTGAAGTCATGATGTTAGACGCTTTGCTCAAGTCAGTCATCTGAAAGCATTTATTGTCAAGCCAAGTCTTCAATTCTGTGTAAAGGGCTTTGGAAACTTTGACCGGATTCGCTTGAATGTCGGCCTTCGTGAGTAGATCGTCTTCCTTGACGACCACGGCACGTTTGGAGGCAGCACTGACGTATACTCGCATGGTTGTGACGCTGCTGTCATCCAACAATCGGCGTTGCTGCTCGGACAGGACGACTTTGGACATGTCTGCTGTGAAGCAGAGCTCGATGTACTTCCCGTGCTCATCGGAGTCCAGATCATATTTGCTATCCGGATCCGTGGAGCATAAAGGAACGTAGTAAGAAGTGTCCATGTCGTATCCTGGCGGGTGACCCCGCTCCGGCAAGTGGCCTTGCACATCTTCACAGGTCGTAGAGACTAACACACACTGTGTGTCTGTCATGTATGTGGGAACTGTATGCATGACTTCTTCTGTGTCAGCTTCAAGGAGTGTTCTGTCATCCATCAGTTCAGCATACCACGACTTCAAGACAAAGGCATCCAGATCTTCTTCTGTTTCTTCTATGATGGTCGGGAGCCGACCATCGTTCTCCGCAGGAGGCTGCTCAGGAGCAGCTGCTGGAGGTGACTCGCTTGGTGGTGGACCATCAGCGAGTTCCTCAAACTTAGTGAGGTCTCGGTCAAATCCAGCAGGCGGCTTCCTGGATTTAAGACACTGGATGATGCGTGAGTGTGTAGATCCTGTGATGTCGTAGATGTTCAAGGCAGTGCCATCAGCTTCATAGTAATGAAAACCAGGGGTCACATCATTATCATAGTGCACTAGTGTACAGCTGTCTGCATAGGGTGCAGCAGGCAACTTCGTCAGGCTCTTGGCAAGTCGTACAGCAACAACGTTTTCAATACGAAAGTAGTTGCGTATGAGGTACTGAAGAGCCAAGTGCACCTTAGGCGAAAGTCGGCTCGCAGCAGTCATCTGCAGCCGACCCTGTTTCGCTGGTAGATATCCGAAAGTCATGGCGGGTTTCCCCGCTGGCAGACCGGCAATAAAGGCCAATACTGTCCGAAGGGCCGTATTGTCCGATCCTATCTCGCGGACCATAAGTGCTTCGATGTACAGCGTGTGTCGTGCGTCAGGATACTGTACTCGCACCTCGCGACTACCGACCTTCACGATGACCTGGCCTCGGTCAGGTTCGTTGCGGATGACCGGGTATGGACCACTCCATCCACCCCAGTCGTCTTTCGTGGTGGTCGGGCGATGATAGTCCACGAGATCTCCCTCTTTGTAGTGAAATTCACCCGTAGCAGTAGTCTTCGTACGGAGAGCCCTGTTCGTCTTGGCAACCGCAGTGGCCTGCGTGATTGCCTCCAGACTAACCCTCCTGATTGTTTCCTCCCTTGAGTGATCTGATGATTCAGCGGACTGATCATGATCCAAGACAGGGAAATCGGGAAGCATAGCTGGTTGTCTGCCATACAGCGCATTGTACGGAGACACTTCATTGTAGAAGGTAAATGCGTTGCTGGCAAACAAGGCTTCATGTAAAAGACGAGTGAAATTCAGAGGAATATTTAATCTATTCAATTCTTCTCCCATCACGTGTATGAGGTGTCGCAGGATGCCGTTCCTAGCTTCGATAGTCGTGGCGTGTTGGCCACGCGCTCGGATACGAAGCTCTGTTCCCTTAGCCTTAAGGATGGCCTTTGCTGTATCGTTATTCAGTGCTCCTTCCCCATCGGAGTATAAGATTTTAGCAGGGCCGTGTTGCATCCAAGTTGTGTGATAGGCATCGAGAACAGTATGCATGGTCTTATCAGGAATCTCTGTGCCAGCTGCCCAGCGAATACAACGGTCGATGATGTGAAAAACAATATGTTCCTGTTTGTAAAAGAAAAGATCACATTCGACTTCCTCGTTGAAACGTCCTGGCAGTGACACAGAAGGCATCACCGTGTTGCCTGGTTTGTCCCAGGCTCGACATTCTCTACACGAGTCGCAAATGCCTTTGATCAGACTCAAACGGGTTTCACCCAGACCAACCTTAGTTAGAATCATCCGCATTTTTGGCTCCTTGGCATGAAACCATCTCAAGTGGAGTTTGCGGAGTTCTCGCTGCACTACAGCTGGGTCAAAGCTGCGCAGGTTTTGGAGGCTGAGCTGAACGTCGAAGCGAGTCCAATCAGGGAGCCTTGGCCTTGGCCTCGGCTCTGCTTGAGGCTGCGGCGGTGGTGGAGGATCTCCTCCCTCCATGCGTCCGCGCCTTGCTGCAACTTGTGGCAGTCTACGGTGATCGTCAGAGCTGCCAGCGCCAGTGTTGCCACCATTAGCCCCTTCGGCTCTGGTGATGTCATGGCTGCTGGCGCCTGCGGTTGGATCGCCCTCGCCAGGCCGTGGCGGCCTAGGCGCGCGTATGCGCGCTCTCGCGGCCGGCGCCGCTTTTGCGGCTGGCGCCGCT